AGTTAGTGTTTAAAGGTTGTCGAGGAAGACTGTATTTGACAAGCAAGACATCATCTAATGTTAGCAATGTGTTACTTATTTCACTTCATGAGCACTATTAGTCAGTTCATTGTCAATGACTGTCATTATATTGTATAAATATTTATAGCTACAGTATCTGACATCAATATTTTTGGAAATGAATACTGGTAACCTTATATTCGACGATGAGCTGCTGGCTTCTATTTCTTGATAGTGCGAACTGTCCTTGATAAAAGAGAAGGCTTGCTTGAACGATGACTCCTGCAGTGTAATTCATATCCATTTTAGTACGAATAATCAATTCGACACGATGCGCTGATTCATTTAAATTTAGATACAAATTGACCAGTTTTTAATGTAACCAAGCTTGTGGTAAAGTAATACTGTACGTAGACGTCTGGAGAAGGAATCTAGACCAAGGTAGCAGGACATTATCACCTTGAAACGGATAAATTATTTGCTGATATACTGCATAGGGTATGCTCGCAATTCTATTTTAAGTTATCTATTCTACGTCATAGCTGTAGCGAACGCTGGCACACTTTATACGTAGTAAACTCTACTTTATCCGATAGACGCGTACAGTAAATACTGTAGATAGACAACAAATACAGTGCAACCTTATAGTCAGTATACTGCAAGCTCGATTAATTTTTCTGGATCTCCTCATCCAGTGTTCATGGTACAGAAATCAATCTTTCATCAATCTACAGACAGAAATTGGAATGTCAATATCGTAGGAAGCAAGTTACACTCTACCTTTGCAATATTGGTTTGTTTTTCGTGGTCTTTGCTCTCATCCTCCGCCATTTCCACCACCAGAAGAAATGATAAATACAATAAAAAACTGGTTAAGAGTAGTAATCACTCCTGTAATTGTTGTGTCTCAGGCGTTTATTTAGCAAAAGCTGTAATGTTCTTGAACTACTACTGGCAAGAATAGATTTGTAATCGATTTTAATTATGGACTACTAGTCCATATTTTAGTTCATGTTTAGCTCGCTTCCATCCTATGAATTCCTATCCTCCATCAAGAATGATATGCAAAGCTAAGCGAAACTGCGTACTGTACTTTATGCTCGTACAGTATACTGTACAGCATAATGTTATAATACAGTACAGTATGTACAATTGTACAATGTACAGTACAGTACAGTACAGTACTTTCCAGGACTTCATACCGTACAGTACAGTGCTATTAGGCAAAATAAATTGTAGTAAAGTTGCAAAATTTGCCTTAAATTCTATACATACAGATAGATGAAGTTATTCAGCTTTATATTCGTATAATTCTTATTACATTTGGATTCACACTCGTGATTTTAGGGTACCTTAAAGTACTCTGATGCGAACTGGTTCACACTGTACAGTACTGTATGTACTGTACAGTACTGTACTGTACAGTACATCTACAGTACTCCATAAAATATATAAAGAACTGTACTGTACAGTACAAGAAACGGCTTGGCAGCAGCTCGCCCTGCATCCTTTTGACTAAAGTCGATGATGAAGTTTCCTGCCAGTAGTGCTGCTTGCTGTCGTTATACCTTGTTCGCAATATTATTTCTAGTTGGAAATCATGGTAAATTAATCAGCAATCATTTCTTGTAGTCAGCACTATCTTTCCGATCATATTGGATGACCAAAAGTTATTTATATGTTGTGCTCAGCTTGAAGGTAGCAGCACGCAATGGCGATGCATCGATTGTAGTGATCCTACTTTAATGCACAGCCAGTACAATTAATATTTGATTTATGCCTCACTCAA